AGAGCGACGATTTAGTTCGCTAATAACGGAGCACAAACTGGCAGTATGGAGAGGCGACTCTCCGTCCCAGATCTTTACCTATACTCTGGAAGAAGGCCACGAATTTGACTTCTCGGGCACACGGATAATGGCACGCACCACTAATAAGACGGGACGGGAACTACTAGAGGTCTGGGTATGAGACTCCAACTCTATCAACAGTAATGTGGCTATACCACCCAGTTATTTAGCCGTCCGTGCTCGTGACCAGAAGCCACAGTCCATTTCCTGTCAAGCAAGCAGGCTGTCACGCCAAAGACGCAAGACACGGTACCAAGGTCGCATGCAATAACCCCAAGGGCGCGCGCAGGGGAGACACGATAAAATGGCCTGAGCATGGACCAATCACAAATGCAACCTCCCTCACCCCCATTTAAATGTAACCAAGTTTGCTGCTTTCTCATTTTCTCTGACGATGGCCTCTCGTGTGAAGCCGAAAGCTCAGAACAATAGAATTGCCGTTCTAGAGATCGCGCTATCATCTTCTTTATACATAAGTATAGCCGACAGTTCGACCGTAGATTTTGACGAGGTCCACCGCGTGCGCCATAGAATTGTGGTGCAGGAACGGTGATTTGCGCTGGATTATAGTGAGAGAAGCCCTGCGTTGCATCTACCTCACTCTCCTCTCACTTCCCTTACCTAGGCCCTCTGTCAAGACAAAGTCAAGTAGACTGGAGATGGGAAGGATGGTTCACACACTGTGGGTCATCATAACCGGAAAACTACTGCAAAGAGGGGAGGGGGCGTTCGGATCCCAGCTGAGTGGGAGTGCCATAACCGCCACATTAAGAAGAAGCCATTGAGGCCTGACTCTCAGTCCGCCAGTCAGCTACTCCACACAAGACAACACACAAGACAACACACACACACTGAGCTGATTGCGCGGTCCGAATTATCTTGTAAGTTGGCAATTGTTCAAGCTGCGGCTTTTAGCGCCCCATGATAGCTTCAAGTGTGTCAGATTATTTATAGTGAGGATGAAATGCTGAACCGTTGACCTCCTCGCACTTTTCCCTACCTCCAGCATTCGTCCGAGCTGGACAGTCATCTGAGACGCGGTGTGCGCAGTAGCTGACAGGGTATTTGCCCCCGTCTTCGCGCGCCACAGCACCACCTGGCCTCCTTGAGCATGGCCACCGCAACATATAAATACTGCAACTGCTTGTGTATGAAGTACCCACACCTGGCATTGTCTCTGATGATAGGTTCGAGCACGAATCCAAAGCGTCAGGTGAATGAAGATCTTGTCCACACAGTTGCCAGACAATGCGTAGTGACTCCACTACCCTCACTTGATTGCAGTCTGCCTCGGGACGCCCAATTACAGGTGCCACAAACTCCGCGTGATCACTTGCCTCGCGCGGCGGCCAATAACATGCACGCACGCACGCACGCCTGGGCTGACACCAAGCCATCTGACCAATCACCTTCAAGATCA